CTCCCAAACCCCTAAACCCTAAACCCCAGACCCTAAATCCTAAACCCCCAAACCCTAAACCCCTAACCCTAAACTCCCAAACCCCTAAACCCTAAACCCCAGACCCTAAATCCTAAACCCGCAAACCCTAAACCCCTAACCCTAAAGCCCTGACCCTAAACCCCTAAACCCCTAAATCCCAAACCCCAGACCCTAAATCCTAAACCCTAAACCCCTAAACCCCTAAATCCCAAACCCATCTAAACCTTTGAGTCTCCGGCAGTTCGTGCATCAGCAACAGGAAGTCCGGGAAGTCCAGGGTCCAGGACTCGGCTTATAGGGATTATGGCATTCGGGGGTTTAGGGTTTATGGGTTTAGGGTTTAGGGTCTGGGGTTTAGGGTTTAGGGGTTTGGGAGTTTAGGGTTTAGGGTTTGGGTCTATAGGGTTTAGGGTTTATAGGGTTTAGGGGTTTAGGGCCCATCGAGGATGGATTGGGAACAAACACGTCTTCTGCGCAGCCCTACGTGGAGGCGCAGCTCTCACTGGACTTGAAACACCAGTCGCCCAGTTACACGAACTAGCCAGTGGTCCTGCAAATTTAGTTTCTACTGTCTGCCAAGAGTGCAGGGCAACGGGGAAGCAAAAATCAAAACAAAACCCGATGGCAGGAGGCCTGGAGGTCTTCTGGCGCCATGGGCACGTGGACATTCCTCTGCCAGATCTCGGAGAGCTGAAGAACCTGCATAACTTGAACATGTCTGCATCTTCTTGCTAGCCCGATTTTGCTACCGATCGCGTTGCTGTATGCCGAGCCATCGCATGCACCTGTGTTTGATTGAGGGACTGTTGTGGTGGTGGCAGCACTCGAGTATCACCACCACGGAGCTGTTGTGGCTGACGTGATGCTTTCGTTGATGTTAGGATTCTTGCTTGCTAGGTTCTTTCGTGGTACTGATATCATTGCCAGCTTTCATTTAAATTTCATAACTTCGAGACCATTGTGGTAGTTTCCCGCACCCTTTTTCGGTCTGCCTATTTTTGAGGACAGCCAGTCCCACTGCTATATAGTAGCTGAAAAATGCATTCTCAGCTATTCTCATTTTTCGAACTGCCAAGGGCATTATCATTGTAATGTTTGTGTACAGACGCAAGTCGTACCACGATGATCGTTGCCACCAGGATTGTGCGGGCGCATGTCTGCCAATGTCTGCAGGTATTTTGCTCTCTATAAGCATATTCTGCCGGTGCTGTGTAAATTATATCTTGTATTTTTGTGGTCGCTGCTGCTGCTGCTGCTGCTGCTGCGGCTGTTTGTCGGTTGCTGTAGCTAGGGTCGCTGTAGCGACTGTGCTTGTGGTGATGCTGGTGGTTGTTGCTGCTGCCGTGGCTGCCGTCGTGTGGTGGGTGCTGTCCGCTCGTGGCAGCGACAGCGCTGTAGCTCATTATTGATGCTGAACAGAAGCCGCTTGCAGACTGGAGGAAAGCTCACTCCTTAATCTGGGACATGGATGTGTGAAATGCTGGGGCTGCAGCACGCCGATCTCCCATTGGTATCAGTACAGACCTTTGCCATAGACCGTTGCGCACTGGCTGAGGCAAAGCATGCGTGTGCTTTCACATTTTTTCGCCGCAAACCTATCTTAACCATAGGCGAGGATCAAGAGTGTCTGCACCGCCTTAAAGGAAATCAAGTCTTCGCGGTCCTCATCCTGGCATAAACAAAGACAATCATCCCACCTACCTATCACACAAGACAGCACAGCAGGAGGTATGTCTTGCCCGTGGCTTGTCTTGCACTTTCATACCCTCCTCATCTGGCTCGAAGACACAAAAACATTCGACCAGCCTCCAACTCTTCCCTCCACAGTCGCTCCACAGTTGAACTTGCAAGCTTTCTCGGGCTTCTACGCGACTGCCAAACTCAGGCCGAGCAGACGTTTTCGATGAAGATCTCACGGAAGTCCCGAATCTGGTGACTGGTGAAGGGCAGCTGATCCACAACGTGCTCTTCCTCCAACGACTTCGTTGTGCATTTATCATGCAAATCGCGAGAACCTGCTGGCTACCGCGTCCAGCTGCTACAAGGCGACAGGTCCTTTGTGTACTTTGCTTGCTTTTGGCTGTCTTCCAAGTCACCTCTGCATCACTGTAAAGCTGAAACAAGCTCATGAGCTCATGCTCTGACCGGTCTGACTTACATTCTTCAACTTGAGACTCGCTGAGTTAGGAACGCATCAATTTCAGAAACTCGTGGAAGTTGAGATTTCCATCTCCAGAAGAGTCCATCTGAGCGAATGCACGTTCGACGATCATCGCAATGGCAATGGCTCCAGGGTCAAGAGTCAAAACTCTTATCTTGTTAACTTGTTAACCCTCCACCATCTGAGACTTGGCATGAACCCGCTTATCTTAGCTGGGTTTTGACAGTATACACTCCTTCATCTTCTGAAAGAAATGTGACACACTGTGCCGGCGCACCTCCTTGACCAGCCGGATGAGTTCCGGCCGAGACTTTGGGTCGGTGGCGATCTTGGGCAACATCTCCTGACCACACAAGTGTCGCTCACCTGCTCTTCGAATGGGGCTCCCAAGCTCCTAAAAGGGTCCCTGCAGAATCTGGCCTTTGTTCGCGTCCCCTTCTGTCGGAAACGCCGAGGGCAATACGAACTAGCTGCGAACTCGCAGTGCCCAAGCACTACACGACATCAGAAGCGCAGATGTCGTGCCGATATGTTCCAACGGCCCGGGCTCCCGAGGCAGTTCTATGCCTGAGTCAACTCAACCCAACGTCCTGGCAAAGAAGACGGAGCTCAGCTGCCGAAATGGCGCCGCTGCCGTCGGAGTCGTATTGGGAGAACCTGCAGAAAGCTGCCTAGGCCCCGACAAAAATCCTTCAGCAGCCCCCCCTCAGCACACGTGGATTGCCAAACGTCTTCGGATGCTCCAGTTCTGGCAGTGCCAGCCGGCGCCTGGACTGCATGGTTTCAACCTCGTCAGCGCCGAAGCCGTGGTGCATCTGTGCGATTGCCTTGCAGCTTCCAGGATGTCATGAAAACTTCGTGAGCTTTCGCATGTTCTAACCGTATGGAAGACATGCAGATCTGAGCGTGAAGCCCGCATCTGACTGCGCTTCGCCACGGCATTGCGTAACACTCCGTACCTCGCAAACTCTGCCGACATGCCCCCTTAGTTGACGACTCATCCTTTCACGCCTTGTTGGATCTAGTCGCCGACCCTTTTTCGTGGTATAAGTTCAGAATAACAGTACCTCACTATCTATCAGTCCATCCGCGTTTAGCACGACTACAAGCTCCCTTTTTTGGTGCTACGCCTGACCGCGCAGTAAACCGCATCAGGGCAAGGAGCAAGTACAAAACCAGAACTTCTGAACTCAGATCCCGAAACGGCAGTGATTACCGCGAGACCCCAAACCCGAAACGTTAAACCTGTTCAACTGCGGAAGTTCTTCGAATTCAGCCCGGGGAAGGCACTTTGCATCGTCCACGTCCCGAGATTTCGAGGCCTGTTCTGCAAACTCCGAGGTGGTCAGGACTTACAGGCTCAATTTTTCGGGCTAAGGTTACGGGATTCATATCTGGGGTTCAGAGGTTACAGTTCACAAGCCGAGAGTCGAGGTTCTCTCCATGCTCGAAGGCTCTAGCAACAGTAGCCCCTGAGAGGCCCTGCACAGCCATACTATCTGCAATGCCTATGTAAACACTTTTACCAAGCTGCTTCACATGGGACAGTGAAGAACCCTGGTGCAGCTTGCTAGAGGCTTGCTTTGGTCAATCAGCTTGTCCTTGTTCGTCTACACGTGTCTATACCACCTCTACGGACAAAGAAGTTTAAGTTTCAGGTCTAGGATTTGGAGTTAGGGCTTGCGCTTCAAGCGAGCTACGGTGACCATGACTTTTGAAGCGTTGCGACGAGAAGCTGCAAAGCCTCGACCATGGAAGGCCATTTCCAACCAGCTCGGGGATTTCACAAGGGTTTCTGCAGGATCTGAGGTTTTAACGTTCAGCGTTTCGATGCTGGGTCGGGAAGCCGGGTTGAAACTATACTATTATATTATTGTTATACTTACACTATGTTATCCTGTACTCTATTTTACTATATGATACGGTACTGTACTATACTATGCTATACTATGTCTAAGGCTCACGACTCAGGATTCGTGACCTTTAAGGGTTGGGGATTTGGAGCTCTTACCTGCTGTCGCATGTTGCAAGGGCCAGCATCCACGCGCACACACACACACACATTCCGGTCCGTCTTGGCTAAAACACTATACTACAAGATACCATAGTATTGTATAACAGTATTACGTAAAAAAAGCATAGTATAGTATCACCTGGGACCTAGTATAATATCCGCTAATATGCTTGCTCATCTTGATCCACCCGGCCTTCTCGGTGCTATTTCGTCCCATGCCGAGGAAGGCCAAACTGTGTCGTGCCCTGCGCTGGCCGGGTGACGAAAGGATGGCAGGGAACAACAGATCTCAGAAGTGATGGCAGAAGTGCATATGCTCTTGATGCGAAGCGGACGTCTATCAAAGAACCACATGAACATCACCTGCTACCAGTGAGCGCTTGAAGTGACAACGAGTGTGAAACCGTGCATGCTGTGGTGCGGGCGAGCTCTTCGGTTCAACCTTCTCCGAACCAGTGGATTCCTCCTACACCGCCACCCCTGCTCTTATTCGAAGGATGCAGCTGCATTTGCAAGCACTGTGGCGCCATCTTGGGTGCGCGAGAGTACGACTGCAACTGGAGCACATCATCGAAGCTGGCTTATCCACTCTGTGTGTCAGTCTCCTGCACCGGCCGAACATGCGCGATCTGAGCTGCCTTTTTACTTCATACTCGCCTCATGCCCAATAGCGACACACGAGTCAACCGAAGGGGGTTGTTCGACAAATCTTCGGCGTTCTGAAAAGCTATTGCAACAACGAATATACCTCCTGCTTGAAGAAAGACCTACCGGTCCCGAAAAAACGCGATCTGTGCCAAGAGCAGCACAGAAGCACAGCAACAGGCAGGCAGGTCAGGTTACTAGTAGATGCAGCGGTGACTGGGAACCGGACGCCCGGCGACCCTCCTCGCCCGACTCAGTGCCGCCAGCAAGACCGATCCTGCTTCCAAAAAGGCTCCTTCCTAATTACTAATAGGTCTGGAACCACATCATCCTGTTCTGGACCATGGGAGCTTCGTTTCAGAGTGTGTGCTGGTATTATCAAACAATTCCCGCCTGAGGAATGAGGCACGGATCTCTTCCAACTCCACGGAACGATAAATCCGCACCTGCATCCAGCAAGTGTTGCCAACAAAAATCTGCACCAAGGGCATGTGTTCAAGCTCCCCTTTGCATTCGTTTGGTCTGAGAGCATGGCCAGCTTCATGAACTCGGCAAGGCTGATGCTGCCCACGTTGCCGACATCTACCTGGACATCTGCCATATCCACAAAATCATCAGCAAGGGCACAGGCCGGCCCGGCCCTCGCAGCCATGCGAAAAGTGAAGGACAACAGTAAGACGGCACCTTGGAGAAAGTCAGCTGGTGCTCCTCGTGCGTCGCGCGGTAGCCAAGCCAAGTCAATGCCCTGGAAGCATCGTAGGAGCCTGGCAAACAATAAGTGGCCACTTTTCCTGGGCCTTTTCGAGCACTCTCCGTACGTACCGCAGGTGGCTTGAAACATGCAGGCTCCCGACTGATGCGCATCCCATCTGCAGGGCCAGCTGTCTGTGCAAAACGGTTATAGTACTCCTGCGCAGGTATTTGTCAAGGCCTATTTCGTGTAGCCTCCGCTGCTAGAGCAGTTTTGTGATCAAGGTTGAACAAGTGACAGCTCGCCATGCCTGCAGTTCATTGGCCTCTGCTCGTGTAAAGCCTTCACGGCATCGGTACACCTGTGCCCACACCCTCCGCATTACTCAGCATCATGTAGGCCAAAACCGAACTAAACTGCATCAATACCCAGTTGTATCCAATTTTGCTGGATGCATGAGAACCTGCATAGCCCCAGCCTCCAGGAAGCGATAGGCTTCCGAGAGGGTCACAGTGGCCTGGCCAAGCAAACGAAATGTCGGTCTCATCTGTCGGGAGCAGATTTCGATGTAGGGAACCGTTGAGATCCGTTTCGAAGAAGAATCATGTCTGTGTCTGCACCCATGCACGGGAAGCGCACGAAGTTGAACACTTGAAGTAGCGGCCAATCACAAGAGACTCTCAACATCTTTGAAATGAACCACAAGTTTGCAGCGGCCCTGTCTTACAATTTAAGCTGACAAGCCTCGGAGCGACACCATTCTGCGAGCTACAGGCCTTGTAAGTCATGGTGGCAGACACCGCGCCAGCCGGCTGTTTCCCAGAGTTCGGCAACAGCTGGGCGAGGCTTGCTCGTCGAACCCTCAGCAGGTGCAAACAGCTCTTGTGAAGCACACTAGCTCTGATTCCGACGTGGGGAAGCGCTCAGCACTTCGCGTCGGCTTGGCCAGGCTGATGTTGCTGTCAACTGCGGCATCACGGACAGCCTGCACATGCCAGGCATGCTGACTCCGCGTGTGCTGTGAGGAAACGTCAGCAACTGCATCCTCCTAACATGGACTACTGGCAATGGCTATGACTATGACGACTGACTACTGTTCAGGCCAGCCAGCTAGCTTCGGCATCGGCTTGAAAAGGCCCAAAGGCAAGGACAAAGACAAACCCCTGCAGGAACAGCTTGACCTCCTTGTCCGGCATGTAGCCCATGATGCGAAGCAAGCCAGTCAACACGTCCTCGCAGAGCGCTCACATCAAGCACGGAGGATTCCGCACGGGCTATCACGGGCCACACGGGGGCCTCTTTGTCTCCAGATGGCAAATTGGACAGTCTCTCCAGTTCATCCTCGAGTCGAAGCGAGCTGCTTATTTCTACGTCTTACTTCTGTATCAAGGCGTACCTATGACATACCTTCTACGTCTGCCCGAATGACGGAAATCAAGGCCTCCAACCGCTCAAGCTCCGCCTCTCGGATCTTCCTCGGCGTGGACGGGATGGTAGCTTGGGGGACACATCAGTCAGCCGTGAAGAGTAAGGATGTGTCCGCATGAAGATCAAAAACTCCGAGAATGACAACGTGCCACTCCCGTCTATATCCACTTCCTCCAGCATGTTGGCCACGACCTCTTAACAGGACAATTGTTTGCTGTCCCNNCCCCCCCCCCCCCCCCCCCGCCACGCGCCCCAGCATTCCGTCTGCCGACACACCATCGAAGCCTCTGCGCTCATTTCGTAGCCCAGGTAGCCCAACATAGCCTGCAGCGATTCTGAGCAACTCCGTTTCAACGCAAAGGACGAGTTCCAGAAGATACTCAAACGGCGTATTTCGCCGATAATGCAAAGGAGCCAAGAGCTGGTCGGTCTCGAGTCCACCAGTCCGAGCGTCGTTGTAGAGGTTGTAGGAGTGTTTGAACTGGCGCGTGCCACTCACTGGCCCCAAGACCAGATGCTTTCCGTGTCTTGTTCTCGGCTCTTCTTTTTGCGACGTCGCAACAAAACAATGAGCCCCCTGGCGTCCCGATGCACTGTTAAGGCATCATGCCTGCAAGGCCACGAGGTGAAACAGGTACAAGCGGTCTCACGGCTGCGTTTCAAAGGCCAGTCATTCCGGCAATGCCGTCCTCACGGGTCTGCTTAACCGAAGCCTGCCTGAGGTAGGTTCTTGTCGCCTTGTATACGCATATTGACTTCGCATACGGAAATACCTCCCAACCCAGAGTCCCAAATATACACATACAAGATCATACAAGCATGTATAGCATGTATGTATCGTGCACGAGACGTCTGGCCCCGTCTGGCTTTTCAACATCAAGGTGTCCGGAGAGCTTCGCTTGCATTTCGCACCGCACCCGACCACGCAGCGGCTTTGGCTCCGTCTGTGGGATGTCCTGAACTGTCCTCAGCTCTAACACAGCCTCTGCAAGCCGTGAAACCACATGGGAGTTTCGGAAAAGAACGGCTTTTCGACGATAAGATTGTCAATGTTCCAATCCATCTTAGGGTCCTGTATTTGTGGACACTCCCAGACTCAGATTCAGACACTACGAAACAAAGCCAAGGTTCCACGATTCCTTCGAGGTAGCTGGTCCAGCTGCTCTTTCCGGACAGCTTGTCTCGCAGGATCATGAGCAGCATGCCCAACCAGTTCTCAAGAAGATCCTGTCCAATATCACCAGAATCCGCAGATGTCACAAGAGCAAACATCATGCTTGCCCGACTGTCGTCAGCCTGACTTAGACCGTGGTGCAAGAACAAAGCCCGAGCAGTGCAACGCGTGAACCCATCCTTCTCTGCAATGTCCGAAGGATTCTCCGAGCCTGATCCAGACGGTGCCATGTTCTGTCCAATTTAATGAGTTTAATGAAACTCGAGATGAGTGGATGTGCGTGCGCCCGACCTGTGTCCAGGAGGAATGCTTCATCAGTGTGCAGAAGCGCTGCTGCGAAGTGTGACTCTGGGGCAAACTTCGCTTCAAGCACAGCGCCCATGGCCGCCCAGCTGCTCGTAAAGCCTGCGCCTCATGGGCTCCAAAGCGCGAGAAGTCTCAAGAAGTCTTTCAGATGCAATGGCGAATTTCGGCAGCTTCAGATGTCCAAGGAACGTGACTTGTCCCGATGGCTGCCAAAACGCTGCACTTTCTTAACGGCGGCCATGGCATTTAGCTCCTATACGCGCTTCCACACAGCACAGATCGACTGACTCGAGATCAAACCACCGCAGTCTCCTGGAACATTGCAGCCAGGGGCCAGTTCCAGGTGGCCTGGTATGCAGCCTGAGCCACTGAGCGGAGGAGCGCACATCTCGTTTTGATGCGAAGGAGTGAAAGTTGACATCCCAAATATTGGTCCGTAGCATGACGTAATCACCACGAACAGACAAGCTCCGCAAGTCTTGCATGCATCTTGGCAGCTTCGGCATTGCGAAATTTTTGTGTTGCTCTGTGGCAGGGAGCAGAGACGACAAGCCTGCATGCTCCGTGATCCTTAAGTCCGGCAATGTGAAGCCGCCGCCACGCACAGTCAGATGCGACTAAATGCTCTCAGACCGCCATCTCCAGCAGCAGAGTGCAATAATAAAGCTGTCCAGATTCGAAGCTGTTTGAAAAGATCTGCGACCGGCATAGCTTCTCAGCATGGCCGTCTGTGCCAAAGCGCGAGAAGGCAACAATGCCTAAACCGTTGCCCAACCTGTCACCGCACCAATGCGAGCTTGCACTGGGCTTGCAAAGTCAACTTATGCAGAGCCGATGCCTCCCGCGTGGGTCTGTGAACTTTGCCCCCACTACCGGATCCTGAAGGACAGAAGTGACCAGTCAGGCTCACTTAGTTGAGCCCTGGAGGTCCTGGCCCTGGCGGTGAGGAGCTGCCAAAGGAGAAGCATCCGCTTGTTTTCTCGGCTCTCTCGCACTGCTCGAACTGCTCGAGCTTCCTCCCTGCACACCTGGCTCCAGTCTCAGAATTCCCTCGCAGCATCCTTTTCGGAAACTACTTTGCATTACTTTGCTACACCCAAGTCGGCCACTACATGGCAATGTTCTGCAGCTTTCTGTTGCTTCAGGCACGCCTCGTTTCGAGGATGTTTGTCCCAACTGCCCAGGCTGCACTCCGGAAGCTTTGTCCAGAGCTCCTGCAGAAGAGCTCCACAACAGGATGCTTAGGACAAGAAGGGAGCCTGTCCTGTGCCGTTCTCAAAGCGTACAGACCTCGACTGGGGCTTGGTCGGAGCCTGGCTTGCGGGAAAGCTTAGATGGTATCAAGCACAGCGCCTCCGCAAGTGCGTGAGATCCGGCAGGGACATCCCGGGACATTCTGCACAGGATAACTCGTACATGCGTACATCTAAATGTTGGCCTAGAAATGCCTCCGAACATTTCGAAAGCAGTAGTAGACGGGCGCTGGCTCTGCTACTGCCGCGAGCTTCTAAGGCTTCCGCCGAACATGCACAAGATGTTTGAGCTGCGAACTAAAGGATGCTAAAGCCTTCAGTACTCCAACATCTAAGATATCACGCGAGGTGGGGCTGACATTGTCACACTGAGAAGGCGGACTTGACACCACATTTTACATCAAAGACCTGCCTGGCCAATGCTCTCAGCCGGCTTCTCGGGAATGGCCTCCTGGATGTATTCTTGACTCTTCGACTTCGCTTTGGCTGTTGCACGTCAACGTGCTTGTAAACAGCTCGCACAAGATCAAGACATGCCATGACACGCGATGACATCGCTGCAGTCCTCGAGCTCAGGCAAAAGCGGCGTCTTTGGCTCGTTCTGCAGCCCGCCTGGTCCACAGTCCGACCCACGACATCCAACATGCATGCTATCCCACTACATGACTGCAACTTGCTTGGCGACATGGCCCAGGAGTGCCTGCGAGCGAAGGCTCACTTTTCAGCGGCTTTGGCTCTGAGTCCTGTAGGCCGCGGGAGGGAAAGCTGCAGAAGCAGGCAGCGGCAGAGTCATCAGAGCTCTGCTTTGACGTGCCTTCACCGGTAGAGACGGCTGTTCCCGACAAAACCGAAGCTCCAAGGGCTGCTTCTGGCGGCAGAACTCCTCGGCTGGCGCGATGATAAAGACTTGTGACTTGCCGCCCTGTGCGCGGGAACTTCCGTGACTTGCGGCTCAGCGTCCATCAGCTGCTTGGCATCTCCCTTTTGGCCATTGACTGTGAGGAGGATGTCCCCTGGCAGAACCTGCTCCGCGCTGACAGTCTCTCGCGCGGACACCGCCGAAACTCGCGCAGCCTGCAGCGATTCATGCGCATCGTTCCATTGTTGGACCAGCCCAGGCTGTACCAGAAGGACCTTGAGCCTGCCCTCGGCAGTCTTGTTGACTTCAATGCCAAGCCCCGCATCCTGGGTTCTGTCCACCTTGATGACATACCTCAACACAGGCAGACGGTAGTGTCAGCAGCAGGGTGTGAGGTGCATTTCACCCGGGATATTTATGACAGTGGAGCTTTCCCAGTGCATCACATGACTCCGAATCGTCAAGATGCTACCCTGCGAACTAACACAATGCCGCTATGCATATGCTGTCAGCTGTCCGCAGTGACACAAACAAAAACACGAAACCCTGCACAACTTTAAGCACCCGACTCTAAACGATCCGCCGGCAAGGCCACTGACCTTCGCAGTCTATTCGAGATGGAGTCCTGGCAGGACAAGAGCATTGCAAACCGTAATCGTTACGCACTCGAACTCTTTCGACTTTACGATTCTGCTGCTAAAGTGTCCGAACAAAGAGCATAGCACGCGGAGCCCGTTGCTCGTCCACCGAACTGCAGCACCTGATGCAAACGATTGCGCGGGCCACGAGTTCGCCTACAGCTGCGAGAACGATGTGCCTTGCCCGCAAGGCCGCATGACCCGAGGCACAACTTGCCCAAGCCCACACCGCAGGTCATGAGCCAGCCTTCCGGGACTAGCTCAGATCCACACAGGATTAAGCTCGCGCCCAACATCTGAACGCGTAGCAGGCGTAGCAGTCGGGTTGCTGGCCTCTCTTTGCTTGCAGCACCTTGTGACCCTTGTGACCGGGTGACAGCAAGGGCGCAGAGGCCGAAGAGGTACCGGAAACGGCTGAAACTGGCGATGCAGCCTGTGCAAGGAGAAAGCTCTGTGGCAGACCGAGTGGTGTGTTTTGCATGCAGCAGACATTATCACGAGTCCCGGCTCTGTTCTGTGAGTGGCATCTTGTCTCGTCTCTTCTCGCCTGTCGATCTGCCAGGGCCTGTTGCACTTCAGGTGGTAGCGCGGAGAGCCTCGGCAATACTTGGGGAATCGGACGAGAAGTGTGGCAGTCACGGTGCCAAAGCTGCACAGGTACTGGGGCCCTGGCAACTCAGCAGGAACCGCGCCGAATCCTTCCGACGCGCCTTCACGACGGAATTGTGTCGTGCTCCTGGAAGAGGTATCAGTCTGTTCTTCAGTGTGTGGCGACCCACCAAAAAACAAGCTCGCAAAAGAATCAGCTGCAGGTTCCACGGGAGTGCTACGTACTGCGCTCTGAACACGGTCCAGCCGTGCTGGCCTTATGGTTTCAAGACGAAAAAAGATGGAGGCCGGCAGCTGTAGTTTCTCGAGCTCTCCAAAGCTTCGAGGCTCAGTTGCCTCAGTATCGCAGAAGTTGCAATGTGTCTCGAAGCACTCGTACGTACCAGCACGCTGACAAGGCGTCCGGTGCCCAGAAAAATCTCAAGCCGGCACCTCGTCTTCTTCCTTCGCATCCGCCGGCCCAATTCCAACGACCCGGCTGCCATTAGGGAGAGCTTTGATGTTCCCTGGAAGCAAGAGCTGCTGAGTCAGCATCATGTCCTGCGCTTGTTTCGGGTGAAGAAATACCAGTAACTGTCCATGCCTTGCCCGTCTCGGTCCTTGGGATCCAATGCTTTGCAAAGCATTCCGAGTTCCTCTGGCTTGTGCACCTCCACCCTGCGCGTCCCAAACCTTGCATTCACACAGTCACTGGGCATATTGAAACAGTACCGATCAAGCTACTTAAGACTTGGAAGCTGAGGGGTGGTCTGCCTTTGAGCACTACTAAGTGCTGTTGTTAGCGCAAGACGGCCGTCCGACTTGATCTTGAAAGTCTCTTCAAGTTGGAAGCCTGGGAAGAAGGGCCGATTGCAAATCGTGGCCTCAGCACCCTCAGCCATCCTGCCTTCAGCTGCAAAGTTTTTCACCAGCTGCAGCATTTGCTGTGGCTGAGCGCCTTTGGCAGCCTCAGCGTCCTGTCAGACATGCATCTTGGTCAAATCGCTTTGAAGGAAAGCATCCGGCCTCTATCCAAAAAGCCTGACCGGAGAAGTCACCTCCCAGTGTCTGCTGGCCGGAGAAGGTTTGTCCGACTTGAAATCTCGTCGTGGTTTCCTGCAACCCAGAGATGCGCCCTTGGTGGCTCTGCGAATCGGCTGAAGAGCTGCGTCTACCAACCTCGATTTGCCGGCTCCAGACTGATGTCGTGGAAGCAATCTTGACATCGTTCCCCTCCACATCCTAGGCATGTAACGGAGTAGTGAGTGCAAGGTGTGACATGTGTGTCTGGGTGCGTGTGCACGACAAGTGTACGACGACGGACACCAGTCACAAAAGAGGCTCGATGCGCAGACTCCGCCTTGCGGCAGAAGCCATGGAGGAAACCATCTGTGGCACCTGCGTTTCAGGTGCAGTTACTTGCGTGGGACAACTCTGGACAACTTACTACCAGTAGGGTCGGACCTCCAAAGCCTCCAACAGAGAATCCAGGCCTTCAGTCTCTTCACCTCTCGAAGCAGATTCGGAGGGGCAAGACGAGGCAAGCTCTTCAGCGGCACTCGGGCACGGACTCAGCCAGAAGCCGGCCAAGGTTGCGTTGCTACCCGGCTCATCCTCAGTTTCGGTTTCGTCACGGCATCCGTCGTCGCTTTCCCCTTGGTTTGGAAGTTGTTGGAGCGGAGGGGCCCGGCATATCGCCGCACTGGCTCCGGGCAGCACCAAGTCCAAAACCTCGGACAACTTCGCCACCTGAGCCTCCACCTGCCGGGATGCAAAACACGTCAGGCCCCCCCCCTTTTTAAACTGCGACGAACGCAATGGGGACCTTCTTGAGCTGTTGCTGCAAATCGTCAGAACTTCTCCTGGGCATTCGAGTAATTCGACTGAGAACGCTTTTTCTAGCCGATCTAGCCGGAGCGGTCCTGTCAGCCGCAGACATCCTGGGCTCAGATGCCGCCACTGTCGTCGTGGTCCCAGAGGTTCCACGTTTGGGCAAGGGTGGCGGCTGTGCCGGCCAGGCAGCCTCTAAAGCTTCTAAATCAGCGGGAGACATTCCGCTTGTGACAAATACGGCAGGTTTTGACATGACTTTGCCTCGAGCCCCAGCTCTCCCAGTATGGTGTCGAGGAGAGAGCGGCCAGCGTGGCGAGTCTCTGTTGACACCGAGCTGAGCAGCACCACAATGGTCGCATGGGGCAGCCGGATTACGATAGAGCCTGTCAAGACCGGAACGGATCCGGGGCCGAGTTGCAAAAGCCACTGGCATGAATTAAGGGCCTGTCTGTCCATCTGCGAAGCCGTAGCCCTGTAACTCAGAGCCATCCTTGGACTTGAAGGGAAAGAGCTGCCAACCACCGACGGCTCGCTCGGCAACTCCCATGGACTCCCACCACTCCTGCCTCGCACGTCCAGGCTTCCATGATGTCATGCATCACTACAGTACACTACAGTACAGTGGCCACGAAACCACGATCTTCGGTGCCGCTGGGGCGCAAGTTTCGGAAGCGCAAAGTTTTCCCGGGCTGCAGGCTGTGGCGCAACATCTCCGGTGGCACGTAATCGGCAGCGAACCTTGGTCATGCCACAAGATGCGGGCGCACCTGCTAAAATGCTCACTGCATGCTTGTCTTTGGCTTTCTCCGTTCTCCCATCCAGTCATATGCAGCCCCAGCTGCAGCTTGCAGAGTGAGTTGGCAGAGGCTCGCAGACCACGGCCAGCGAGACAGGCAGAGCCCACCTGGACTGCCTGCTCGGGTATTGCTTCTATGCTTGCTCTGAATGAGGAAGCTCAAGGTGAAGCAGCCTCCTTGCTGTGGGCTGTCTGGCTCTTCGTCTCACCCACACCATTAGCGGCCCGCAGCGTTAGCATGACTTTCCACCACCCCTTCAAACCGGAGTCAAAAATCCGATCTGTTGGGTTTTGTTTAGCTTGCCCGGGGCCGCTGTTCTGGGCTGGTTTTGCGCTGGCCCTTGTTACCCAAAAGCAGCCGACAGTCGCTCCTCCCGGTTCACTAGCAGGGGATCCAGAAGCCAAGGCTTTTCAGCCTCATCCAGCACAACTATGACATCAGGACAAGGTACCCTCTGCACTCTGCTACTTCGGCAAGAACATCGTCATCCACTCGAGATCACTCTCTGGACAGTCTCAGCGGCGGCCAACTCTGCCCACGACAGCCACCGTCGCCGACTGCCATCGCCACTGCGGCCCATTGTGTCCAGGCCTGGGTGTGCTCTCTTTTGTGGTGCCTGGTACCCTAGTGGCCTGTGAGGTCGAAGCTTTCCACCTTCTCCTCCAGCCATTCGTAGATTCGCTCCATAGTTACCCGCTCCTGGCAGTACAACCGCGTAATAGGGGCCATGACGGAACCACCATGTGTCTGCATCTCCTGCGGCTTCCTTCCAACATCTGCTGCTACCCCTCGCCCAGCGGGTGTGCAATATGTCACACGCCCACCAGCCACGGACCTTTCGGAGAAAGCTTGACACCTACCAACAGTTCCAGGCGGACAGAACATGCCAAACTCTGCATCGTTCACCGAGCGACTCTAGCTGGGCCACGGCATTTTCCGTGCTCTTTCTGGCGCCCATGCACTTTAGCAATGTTGCCAGCAGGTCGCCAAAAACCTGAAATGGCGAAGCACAGCATGAAATCTGCATTCGTATTGCGAGTGCTCGCACATGCTGATGCAGAAAGGAGGCAGGACAAAGCCCGTCCCCTTCCGGGCATGCAGGAGCTTCAGCCATAGTGCGTTCAAACCGCGCTTCACTGCAGAAGGCCTTCAAAGACATGTCACCTTGGGCGGGTTCTCCCTACTGAAAGCTGAAAGAGCAGCACATGTTACCTTAGCACGGAAGTGATATTATAAATGCTTTCTCGGCAAGCCGCTCGGATAAGGCTTTGCCAAGCCAGCCTGCCCAACGCAAACTGTTCTGACACACGCTCCGGTCTTGTGCAAGGAGTTTGGCACCGCAAACGGCTGCACTGTAAAACAACACCGCACAATCGCGGTAGTAGTTGTAGCAGCAGCAGCAGCAGCAGCAGCAGCAGCAGCAGCAGTAGCAGCGGTAGCAGTAGCGGTAGCACTGGCACTTGCAAAGAAGGAGCAATGGTACTGTAGGGGCAGTAGTCGTCGTCGCTGTGGCCGCAGTCGTTGTCGTCGTCGTCGTTAGTAGTAGTAGTAGTAGTAGTAGTAGTAGTAGTAGTAGTAGTAGTACTAGTAGTAGTAGTAGTAGTAGTAGTAGTAGTAGTAGCAGTAGTTCGTCGTCGTCGTCGTCGTCGTCGTCGTCGTCGTCGT